GAAGATAATGACGGGCCTCATGGTACCAAGGGCAAGGGTCCTAACAAGGTTAAAGCACTCAAGGACCTTCTAGGGATCAAATAGGAGATGAACCCTGCTAATTCGCCTGATCTCAACCCCATTGAGACGATCTGGAGAATAATAAAGCAGCGCTTGAAGTCCAGGGGGGTCATCTTCGAAGAAGCTGTTCTGCGCAGGGCTATCCAGGAGGAGTGGGATAAAATAACTCTGGATGAGATTAATAGGGCTATCTCAACAATGCCAGATAGAGTAGCTGCCCTAAATGAGCGAAATGGGCGTCCTATCCCCTATTAAAGGGGCGTGTAGCATAGCAGGAATCTGAGAACTCCCGTAAATTTTGGCGCCAAGCTTCGGTCCTAAGAAGCTAGCAAGCACCCACTAGTTAGTTAGACCCAAGACGGGTGTCATCTACACAGTACTATGAGGGCGTTCCTTTGGACCAACTGCCATGTCTTCAGTTCTAGCAATTGTAATACTAAAGAAGTACCAATACTTATATATGACGTATCTGGTCAACTTACCAAAGAGATAGAGCTTCTCAAATTGCCAATTCAAGCGGTAGAGATTCTACTTAGTAGTGCGGTCGGCCAAAAGTTCTTGACACTAACTAGCCGCCACCTGGTTGACTGCAGGAGGTCAGGGAGTTTTCCAAAAGAAACGTAGGCAAGTATCCCCTCTCAACTTCGCTAAAGGCAGAGACGGATTGTAAAAAGGGCTCAAAAGATTTTCTTCAGATAGAACCTTTTCTTGTTTTCGATCCAATACCAACATGTCAGGTGATCGGAGCTTGATGTGTTGACAAATGTGGCTTAAGCCTCTGGTGTGTCAGAGTTTTGAAGAGGGGGTGCCGGCGTAGTTTCAGCCGAAGATTTCTAGAATTAATTACTCTGGTGCCTAAGAAACACAGCGGTACTGAATTCTCGGGCTGAAAGGGTCATGTAGGAAACATGCTGTCCACCATGGAAATGTCTGGCATCAATATTTAAGAGTTCTACTTATTATGGCTCGAGGGACTACAGTTACCGAATACCTTCCGCGGTCTTCTAAACTCTCGGCTTCTGATACCTTTTCTCTCTCTTCCAAAATCCAGCGAGAAATAGAGCGAAATGGCATATCCCGTCCGAAAGGCTACACGGTCTCCTGGCATGCAAATCCTGAAGTGGAGAAGCATCACTTTGGAATGGCACATCCCATGAAACCATGGAGATTGACCTTAACCAAGGAGATTGTAATGGCGTATGGCATGCATACTGCTATGGACACTCATCTATCACGTGCTGCAACTGTCGAAGAACTCGTCGAGTTTCACAAAGAGGACTACATTGACTTTCTCTCCTCTGTCACGCCCCAGAATCTCGGTACAAATTATCCTTGGCTCAAGCCTGGTGCTGTAGGCTATTCGGGTCCCTTCTTTGGTGTTGGAGAAGACTGTCCTATCTTCGACGGCCTCTTTGAGTACTGCTCGCTATATGCGGGCGCCTCGATTGACGCGGCTCGCAAGCTGACATCGCATCAGTCTGATATTGCCATTAACTGGTCAGGTGGCTTGCATCATGCGAAGAAGGCTGAAGCGAGCGGCTTTTGTTACATAAACGACATCGTGCTTGCCATCTTGCAACTGCTCCGGCATCACCCACGTGTACTATACATCGATATTGACGTACACCACGGCGACGGCGTTGAGCAAGCGTTCTGGTCAACCGATCGAGTGCTGACACTTTCCTTTCACAAATACGACAAAGAAACTTTCTTTCCAGGGACGGGTCCTCTTGATGATACTGGTCCCACTCATCCTGACAACCCTGGTGCTCACCATTCGTTGAATGTACCATTAAATGACGGCATCGATGATGTTTCGTATCAATGGCTATTCGAGTCGGTTGTTGGTCCCTGTATCGACACCTATCGGCCCACTGCCATTGTTCTACAATGTGGTGCGGATTCTCTGGGCCACGACAGACTGGGCTGCTTCAACTTGAATATTCAAGGGCATGGCTCATGCGTTTCCTACGTCAAGTCCTTCAAAATCCCGCTTTTGGTTGTGGGTGGCGGAGGTTACACACCGCGGAATGTTGCTCGAGCGTGGGCACATGAAACCTCAATATGCATAGGTGCCGATAAGGGCCTCGACCCAACTCTTCCGCTACACACACCTTTTCGACACCATTTTGCGGAAGAAGGCCCTACGCTTTTCCCACCGCTACATGCCACAAGATTCGAAAATAAGAACCCCAGAGCCTACTTAGAGAGCGTTGTTACAGCGATCAGGGAACAGCTCCGTTACATGCATGGAGCGCCGAGCGTACAGATGAGCCATATTCCACCCGATATACAAGGATGGCGCGAAGAGATCGACAAAGAACTGGAAGAGGAGGCGAAACGGGAAGAGGAAACGAAGGAAGAAAAAGACGGTGCAGGTGGTCTTCTGGCTAGGACTGGGCGGCGACGAGATTACGAAAGATCGGCAGGCACAAGAGGGGAACTCTCTGTGCTATGAGTGACGCTATTATCACAAGGCTTCGAATTGAAGCCTATCGAGACCGCGTCCAGATCGATTACAGCATAAAAATGGCGAGAAATTGTCTGGAACGCTGAACGTGAGCAGCCCAGATCCAGCCTTCAACGTTCATATACTCGTCCCACAGTCATAAGGAGGGATGCTTTGGCTTCTGAGCGACATTGTGTTACAACTTGGTCACGGAGAATAGCATGTTGCACATGCCGCCTAGGCCTGGGTCGAAGGTCACGTAGTAGGACAACTCCTTTCGAGGTGACTCCCCTATGGTACTGAGAGGTCGCAGTCGCTCCAACTCTGACGCAAAATAGGCTCATGGTACTGTTGGCATTTCGAAGGTGCCTGGTGACATATGCGCATGGAGCGGAGTTCCCTGACTATTAGTATTTGTCAAGCAAGACATTGACGGGATGATTCAGCCCTATCAAATCTCTGGTGAAGCTCAACCGGGATCTCGGGCGATTACTCCACTGGTCTGGGCTCTTGCGTGTTAGCAGATGTCTCGGTAGCCCTGCAGAGTTTAGCTGCTGGTTATAATTGCCCAGCCTTTTCCTGGATACCTAATGCAGTAATCACAACCTGTCTTGGAGTACCAAATGATCCTTCTTCCCATCCAGATAGACAGATCAATTATGCAGCGATACGGCAGACTGGCTCCAAGTTGAGCTCCATAGATTCACGATTACTCACTCAAATATTCTGCCCTCTCTTGTTCTTCGGCGGATAGGAAGCTGCAGCGCACGCTGCTTAATTCGCAGGCGCTGAAGGCGGGCACTATTTAGGACTATTTAGGGTTTAAGCTTGGGCCACCCTCCTCCAATCCCTCCCGCTATCACTCTTGTCTCGTTCATCATTATTGACAATCACTATCTTTTCTCTTCTACACATCCTGATTCCATACGTTCTGCTGTGCAGTTATTGAGAAGCTCTCCATCCACGCGTTCAACAGTCTTTGCATCAATTCATGTGGATCAATTCGCAGTTCAATTCAACCGATTATTTCATCTACAGATTCCCCCGCATCTTCAGCAATTGTTGGCTCCGCCCGAGACCCTGTACTATTTTTCCTATTCCAAAGCAAAGCCTTCACAGGCTCGGCGTCTAGAATTCGACAATACCAAGCGAGATCATTTCTATACCGAGGGCTAATACTGGGCTCATTGGCGAAGCCGGAGGGAGCATACAACCAGAAGTTCAATCAAGAACAGCAGAAACAAATTCATCTGCGTTCTTCCTGCTTGGTCGAGGAACCATCCAAAGCCCTGCTGACACCCATACAGTTGAAGACTTAGCTAGCACTGAGAACTCTCCTGCATCATGGGCGAAGTCCTCTGCTGCAGCATTGTCAGAAGTTGAAACATATTTGGACGGAATTGATGGTGGATATTACATCAAGGGCAAGCGTGGTCAGCCTTCGGGGGGCAGTTGTGCGACAAGATGCGGCGACATCATGGGCGTGGGCAAAATTCTCCATTTGCAAACAAAACAGCTGCTCCCATTTCGGAGGTTGTGAGCCTCATTCGCAACTTTGACTCTGACATCAACCCCTCCCGACCAGTGCGCCAGTCTCCCCTAGCGACCTCTCAAATTCAGGGAATGCCTCTTGATATGATAGATCGCATTCGGTCGTTCCCATTGTTTCAGTCCACTCCTGACTCTTTTCTCGCGGAAGTCGGCCTCCGCTTGCGTCCTCAACTACACTCGACTAATGACTACATATTGACAGAAGGGGACGACGCGAAATCCATGTACTGGTTGGTCAGGGGAGCTGTGGCGGTAACCTCGAGAGACGGCGAAAGCACCTATGCGGAGCTAAAACCTGGAGCATTCTTTGGTGAGATTGGTATCTTAATGGATCGACCACGGACAGCCACCGTGATTGCGCGCACCAAATGCCTTCTAGTCGTACTCAAGAAGGAAGACCTGAGAAAGATATTGCCCGCATACCCAGAGGTAGAGCAAGCCATTCGCGACGAGGCACAAGAGCGGCTCACAATCCTTGAGAAGAAAAAGAGGCAGGTGCAGCCTGATGCTAATCCTACAGCTGGGTCAGCCAGGCGTGGTTCCAAAAGGACGAGTGATTTCATGTCTGATGAAAACGATGTTGCTCATGCCAATGGAAACGGTGTAAATGGGATTAGCAAGAAGAGAAAATCACCAAGTCCAGGGCCGAACGAGATCTCCAGCTCCAGCGCCCTCGGAAATGGTCTTGTTCATGTGCGGTCGCTATTGAAAGAGCTCCCTCTTTTCACATCACTGCCCTCAGACCTTCTACATTTTCTTGGGTTGAATGCTCTGCCACGGACGTTTGCGCCGTTCACTGATATCATTAGACAAGATTCCAAAGGCCGTGAAATCTTCTTTATAGTTAAAGGAGAGGTCGAGGTTCTTGACGAGAAGGTCTTCGAAACAGCAGCCTCACAGAAGAATTCTCAGCCAAAAGGCAACCGACGGCCACCGTATGTCAAGGCACGACTCAAGGAGGGACACTACTTTGGAGAAGTAGTCAGTCTGTCCTTGGCCCCCCGGAGGACAGCTACAGTTCGATCGGTAACTGCGGTGGAGTGTCTTATGATTACTGCTGAGGTGCTGGCCGAGTTTTGGGAGAGGTGCCCCGCCGGAGTGCGGCAGCAACTTGAGCATACCGCCCGAGAGCGACTGCGTTCCGCTTCCGACAACGATGTCATAATGGATGATAGAGATTCGGCTCCTGCGATAAACCAACTCGCCATTGGCGAGCAAATCATGCCGTTGACACCCAGAAAGCAGCCAGCACCAAGAGTGACTTTTAATGATGCAGAATTGGGGAGTCCGCATAGGTATTTGAAAACGGAAGACGAGCCAGTACTTAGGCCGTCTGACCCTGATCCATTCTTGAACGTTGGTCTCGACAAGGTAAGGTCACGATCGCGAAGAGGTTCCTTGGCACCTATCTCGCCAGATGACATTGAGCCTGATGGTCGGAACAAGAGTACTTCGCCAACAAATACTCGCTCTGACAACCCGTCTGCATTTGATTCGGGAGGTAGTACCCCATTCTCTGATCCATTCGGCAAGTTGAGATCAAGAGCACCAACACCGCGCCCGAGTGGACCACGTGCAAGGGGTTCTTTGCCCGACCGAGTCCTTGTCAACATCTTCAAGCATCTCAGGGTGCATGAATTATTCCGGCTGAGGGCTGTCTCACTTCATTGGTCAGAGATCTTGACGAAGTCGCCCGAGCTATTTCATCATCTGGATTTGACACCATACAACCGCAAGCTCACTGATGAGGTTCTCTCCAAGCATATTTGTCCTTTTGTGGGCGAGCGCCCCAGAGTGATCAATATAAGCAACTGTTTCCACATCACAGATGAGGGCTTCAATATCCTAGCATCACTCTGTGGTGCCAATGTGAAGACATGGAAGATGAAGAGTGTATGGGATGTGACGGCGCCAGCGATCTTGGAGATGGCAAACAAGGCCAAGGGTCTACATGAAATCGATCTCAGCAATTGCCGAAAGGTCAGCGATACCTTGCTCGCTCGAATATTGGGCTGGGTTGTACCAGCCACTGCTCCGTCGCGCCACACAAACGGTCGTCTATCTCTGAACACACGGATGACACCACAAAGTCCTGGTCAGCCGCCTGCTGGTACCGTCTTTGGCTGTCCTTTCCTAAAGCGCCTAACTCTGTCTTACTGTAAGCATGTCACCGATCGCACCATGCATCATATAGCGTCTCATGCATCGACACGAATCGAACAAATGGATCTCACGAGGTGTACGACTATCACCGATACCGGGTTTCAATACTGGGGTAATGCGCAGTTCTTACGTTTGAAGAAGCTTTGCCTAGCCGACTGTACATATTTGACCGATAATGCCATTATCTATTTGACCAACGCAGCGAAAGGCTTACAGGAGTTGGATTTGGTAAGAGTGTCTTCCTTTTTTTCTGGTATTGCAGGGCAACTGACGATTATAGTCGTTTTGCTGCGCTTTGTCGGACACGGCCACTGAAGTTCTGGCTCTCGGATGCCCGAGTCTGACACATCTGAATCTATCCTTCTGCGGTTCCGCGGTCTCGGATCCTTCACTCCGGAGCATCGGTTTACACCTTTTGGCCTTGAAACAGCTCTCTGTACGAGGCTGCGTACGAGTGACTGGTACAGGTGTGGAATCTGTCGTGGATGGATGTCGGCACTTGAGAGTGTTTGATGTCAGCCAATGTAAGAACTTAATTCCCTGGATTGACAGTGGAGGCACCTACAAGTACAGGAATAAAGTGAGGTTCGAGACTGTTGCTAAGAATGGCAAATTCACGCGATGATGACTGTGGGATTTGCCATGAAATTTAATGAACCTACCTGGCAATATGGTAGGATGTGATACGCACTTGCAGGTTAGAACAACTTGAAGTTGTTCTGTATGGAATATGTATTCTTAAATCCCACCAAGTTTCCAAGGCTTCTCATGGATATGGTACTCCATAATTGGGATACTCGGTGTGCAAAAAGAGTCTGTTTGTCGTGACCTGATGATTCTCGATCACGATTCAATGCTTCATGGTTCAAGCTCGTACATGTAGGTAGAGCTGCAACGACGTTTGCTGTAAGGGGACCTCATAAGATTCGGATTGCCTGCAACGACGGAACCTCTTTGATCTTTTGATCTCTTCATCTCTTCATCTTTTGATCTGTTGATTCCAGTTCAGCGGTCTTGGCAGCTTGGGCTCATGCCAGAAGCGCTAAACCACATAAGGTTAAGCCAGTGACGTCGAAAGCGAGCGCGAGTGGTGCAAAAGTGCCTGGCCAAATGCAGGTTGGGCTTCCATGCTGGGTACCCATGTAGACATCTGATTTTCCACGATGTCTGGTTCCCAAGACCGTGGTTGATCTGCATTGCCGAGTAAGCTGCCGGGTAAGCTGCAGAGTAAGCTGCAGCGTAACCATCCACGCGACCTCCACAAAGGACAGCCAGCAGCACAACATTGATGTTAAGCCCGCGTTGAACACGATACCGATACCGATACCGCCTGATGGACGATCAGGGGCGGAAACGCGCCTCTGCAGAAGATGGCGGTCCACCAGAGAAGAGAATGAAGGGAGAACCAGAGGACACAGAAGTCTACAGCCAGCGGATCAAGAAGAAGCTGCAGGCCAACTCACGTACTGGCCAGGCTTGCGACCGTTGCAAGGTGCGAACCCAGTTCACCTTGTTTCCCATCTTCATTTGTCTCTTGGCTCCAAAACCACTAACAGTCTTGTGCAATCACAGGAGCGGAAGATGAAGTGTGACTCAGGCCAGGATGGCTGTCAACCGTGCACAAGCAGAAGTTTGCGCTGTATGGCTACCGACAGAATTACAGGCCATACCCATGAACGAGGAGAGACCGCACGCCTAAAGAGTGACATTGACAAACTCAGAGCACAGATCAATGCTTATTACCGTCACTTTGGTCCTCTTCCAGCTGAATACTCTTTACCAGGGCCATATCAGGCATATGCACCTTCCCAAGGCTACACCAGGTATGTGGACCGCTTCTACCGTCCCTTCTGGCAGGTACTGACATCTGGTCCGCTAGCAATCCGCCTCCAACCCAGCCAATACCCTTGACAGAGCAACACGAAGAATTAGACATCAATAGACAGAACAATGCAAACGGACCGCATAGAGGACCGATTCATGAAACCATCATCGACTTTGTTGACGGCGAGATCGACATAGGAGATTTTACCTGTCCTGATATGACAGAAACCGAGAATATTTCTCAAGCGACTCTTCCACTCAACAACTCACGCCGAAGCTCTCTCACCACCATCCTTGGAGCACAGAAACCAGAAAAGCCGCAAATGCCCGGCCGAGATGAAGCCCTCCAATACATTGACAATTACCTAAATGTCATTGCAGCGTATATTCCTATTGTCCATGGCCCCACATTCAGAAAGCAGGTACGTTCTTGCTGATGTTACCAAAGATTGGCCGACTGTTCTGACATTGCGTGATCAAGGTTGCAGAGTACTATGATCATCCCGGCAGCTTTGATGACAGGCCTGCTGAAGTGGTCATGATCATGGTAGTTCTGGCAATATTCGCCTACCAGATGGCTACTCGTAATCCACAGATGCGCCAGGAGAAGTTGGCAGAATCCAATCGCCTGTATCATTATGCTCTCACTTTTTACCCTGAACTGCTGCTGGGAGACTCTTTAGCCGATATGCAAGCACTGGCCTTATTTCTTGTTCACGCAAGAAATCTGCCGAAGCCTGGAAACAGTTGGAGTCTGAGTAGCATGATTCTTGCCAGAGCTATCGAACTTGACTACCATCGTTCAAGCAACAAGATTGTGCTTCCTCCTAACCAACGGAACGTGCTGGCGATCGAGCTTCGAAAGCGTGTCTTCTGGTCGATATTGAGCATTCAAGTCACCATTGCTGTCAAGATGGGAAGACCAATGGCGATCTCACCAAAGGACATGGATGTCGAGCTTCCTCAAGCAGTCCTGGATTCGGAAATTAGAGACCAAGGATTCCTGCCTAGGTCGGGGCACTGTGACTTTTGGGGGCACATCTTTCTGGCTAAGAAGCTACCGCTTCTCATAGATCTGTATGAGAATGTCATTCCCGTCAGAAAGTCGGCAGCCGAATACCATCAAGACATCGGTAATCTTGATGCTCAAATCACCAAGTGGCGGCATGATTGGGATGTAGAGACGGCCAACCAGACCAAAAACGGCAGCCTTAAAATTGCAACTCACCTCATTGGTATATGGTATGCAGAGTTCCGCATTATCCTGCATCATCCCAGGTTGTGTACATCACACCTTGCGGAAGTGCATGAGAAGAATCTGGACATATGTCTAGAAGCTTCGCGGAGCATGTTAGGAGATCTGATGTCCTTGATCTTAGATTTCAAGGCCCCCGATTTCACGTGGCATTTTGTTTCAGGCTACGTGCTAGCGATGGGAATGGCAATGCATGTTTATGGCAAGCGGAGAGAGCATCAGACTGCTGAGACCTTGGGCAAAATGAAACGCGAGCTTCAGCAGTGGCTGTTCGTGATAAGAAGTGCTGATTATTTTATGAGTAAGTCATGTTGCAAGACGCAAAGCCCAGATGCTAACCATTTTCAGGGACTGGTGATCATCTCATCACATTCTTCCAACCGCGAGCTCAGCAATGTCTTGAAGATGCACAGAACGTGGTGACCGCTTCCGAAGCCCTCCGGAACGGTTATCATCATGGCGCACATTCTCAGCCACCACAAGACGAATCTGAATCTCAGCCCCCTTACTCCGCAGCCGAGTCATACCAACAACATCCCGCAACATACTCGGAAAGTCTACCCTCGAATCCGAGACCCCCAGCAAGTGCACCCCCTCCACAACAGCATACATACAATATCCAACCACCATCCACATCCACTTCACCTGCTGAACAGGAACCTCAACAATATGGTAGCAACAACAACAACAACGTCTACCAAATGCCCATTCCCCAATCCTCATCGCCAGCCACCACCACAAACACCACGATCATGGCCACAACCACTCCAGTCCAGAACCGCAACATCCCATTCCTCTCCGACCACACCAACTACTCTCAGCAGCAACAGCCCCAGCCGTACCCAAGCCAGACAACAACTGCCTACTCCACACAAACACCAACCTCCGCATCCATGTACCCCCAACACCCCGCAATGTCTTACCCGGCAACAGCAAACTCCGATATCTTCTCCACCGAAAACATGTATTCCATCCCACCTGGCATGTGGCCAATCCATATCGTGCAATACCAGCAGGGTGGCATATGAAAGACAAAAGCGTATGATGGTCGAGAGAGTGAAGTCGGCTCGAGTGGTGATTTTGCTTTCCTTTCTTTTCCTGCCCTTTTTGCATGGAGTGTACAAACAAAAGTCATCGAGATTCAGATACCCCAGGGAGATGCGCACTGAGCTTTTCGAGCTGCAAATTTCATTTGAATCCGGACAAGGAAATGCCTGTCCCATGTTTGTACAGCAGAGCAGTTTCCAAATAGAAAAAGAGAGCAATCGAACAGAACAGAACAGAACAGAATAGAACAGCGAAGAATATGATTCACAAATCAAAATCAGGATCCGATCTGATAGAGATGAGAATGCCCCACCTGACATGTCCACACGTGTCCTTACGATCGCAGATCCCGAACAGATATTAGTAGGTCCCCCCAGCACTCCATTGTCAAGGGCATCCACATGGACATGAATGGAAATGCCTAGAGAGAGAGAAAAGGAAGACAAGCCCGTACTCGTACGCTCACTCACTGCACCTTTCGCTAGCAGTTCCCAGTTCCCAGTACACATACAATGCTTGCCTGCAGTGCGGGTACGACCATCATATTCGACCATGTGAATACAGAGTACCGGGCCAGAAATCCAGCCCCCCCGTTCTTCCCATCTTTCACTGAGCATGTACGCAAGCAAGCACGCAAGCACGCAGGCCATCCCTCTTGTTTGTTTACCGCTTGTTTACCCACCTACTCGCTCGCTCACTGGTCCGTTGGTCAATTCGTGGCTTCTGTATCTGACAGCAACTGTAACTACTACTTAGTACTCGCATCCGATTCATGAGGTAACAGATCTCCAAGCCAGCCAGCCAGCCAGCCAGCCAGCTAACTAGCCAGGACGATGCGTTATGTGTACCGTGCTCCTCCGCGCAGAGCTTGAGAGGAGAGGAGAGGGAGGGCGAAGGAAAATATTTTACCCCCAAGCCAACTCGGGTGGTGAAATGGGGGAATGAGCAAGCAGGCAGGCTGGATCGAAAAGAAGAGAAGAGAAGAGGAGAGGAGAGGAGAAGCCAAGGAGAGAGGAAAGAGGGAGTAGTTAGTGCTGGACATATACGGACGGACGTGCTATTGTATCTGGTTCTCAGATCCTAGATGCCTAGATCTAACCTGGCTTCGACAATCAGGGCAGCGGCGAGGGATATAATAGTTAAAAACTGACTGGAATGATGAGGAGATCGTACAGGATATCAGATTCAGGCATCGCACCCTCCTGGAAAGAAAGAAAGAAAGAAAGAAAGGAAAGAAAAGGAAAAAAGCAAGCATATGTTACCCGGTCATTAACTTACGTGTATACTACGTATGGAGAAGACGGTAACTAACTAAATAAATAACTAGATAGTAAGTTCCGGAGGTAGATAGTTATAAGTGGCTTGCTTGCTTGCTTGCTCGCCTGCCGGCCGAACTGCACACAAGGCACTAAGTAACCTACGTAGCTTAGCCCCCTACCACCCCTTTCCCTGGGGGGAAGAGGGAGGGAGGAAGGGGCGGTATTGAAATGAGTTGGAGTATGCTCTGCTATTATAGGCGGGATGTCGTGAGTACTGATTGATGAGCGCGGGGGACGAGAACCGGAACAGAAGCAGAACGGCAGAGAAAAGACCAGATCAATAATGCGTCATAGATCTTTCCACTGTTTCTATCTTGTAAAAAGGTTCAAGTGATTCAGTGAAAGGATGAAAAAACTGGCAATTCTAGGGAGCTCGGTTGGTTCATACGGAATGGATAGGCCGATCTGGTGTTTCTATGCTAGAACCGAGTTGCAGATCCCACTCTTCATGTCACAAGTTCTCTTCGGGAGTGAGGGAAGGGTTCATCACGCCTCCTCCTCCGTACCGCCGACGCAAGTTCCCAAGCGGGGAGAAATCCTCCTACCCAACCCGATACTGGTAAGCTCAGGACGAGGACGAGGACCAGGACCAAAACGCCGCCCCGAGACGCAATCTCCAAGGGCTATCTAGAGCGGTCGACCGCGTAGCCGGACACTTTACACCGAACCGCCTACTCCTCCTCAATACACTCGCTTACCTCTTTCCTCCTCTGGCTCATGCTCATTTCCTCCCCTGAGACCCTCCATCGCCGCAACTGCCCGCTCCTATCCATCCGTCTGACCCGGATCCCGATGACCACCAGCGCGCCGACAGTGGAAGCAATCAGAATCCAAAAGACGAGGAAGCTCCCGAGCAGGGCCTTCCAGAAGCCGGATTTGACGAGGCCGGAGAAGGAGGCGAGGAACTTGTCTGGGAGGCTGGAGGGTCCAAGGGAGGGTGAGCTCGTTGGATGTGCGGTTGGGTGAGGTCTGAGGAGGGTTAGAACGGCTGTGGTTTTGTAGGTCGGGCGTGTGGATATTGTAGATGTGGAGGTTGTGTGCAGGAGAGAAACGAGAGAATGGTGTAAAAGGATAAGAAGCGGAAATGAAGAGGGTATGAAGGGTGAATGGTTGAATGAGAAAATTGTTATAACAAGCAAGACTTACCCGGTGCGGTCTTCTACCACCGGCTCGGTTTCATTACCCGTCACATCGACACCTATCCTCTCGTCCTCGTCAACATGATCCTCGTAGTCGAGATTCCCTTCATCCTCGTCTTTCACGTGGAGACCCGTCGTTGGATCTATCACTTCGAGATCTGAGTACTCGAGCGATACTCCCCTAGAGGCGTCGCCTTCTCGGTCTGATGCTGGTGCTAGTGCGTCTCCGGGATCGAACTCTGGGGCTGATGCTTGGAGAGATGGTAAAGGTGATGCTGTGATTGATGGAAGATGTGAAAAGAGCACAGCGAGGAGGAGAGCCCGGGCGCAAAGTGATGGTTGCTTTGCCCGTGTCGAGAGCGGTACACACTTTACTCGGTTGATTAGTAGTGTAGCCATCTTGTTAGAACGCTGAACGTCAAGCACTGAATCCTGGGTTCCGGAAGGAAGTAAACGAGAGAGAAGCCAACGGCCTTGAATATAGAGTATGTGACGGAAGCGAGGTTAAGCTCTTCAGCATGACAGTAAATGAAACACGATTGACTCTCAGCACCAATCACTATCAAAAGTCTCCAAAGAAACCAAGAAGATATCAACAGCAGTAGCAGTGAGTAGGAAACGAGATTGAATAAGAGAAAGAAAAGCCCTAAGTCAAATCAAAAGAATGAGCTGGTGCCAGTCCCGGCTCATGGCACTTGCTCTATGATTGGCAGACCGGTTGTCATGGAATGTTCGAGGTAGGGAATGTGGGGGGCGGACTCGGAAAGCGCGAGTGAGAAGAGAGTACGTGGTGTTGGCGTTGACGACGAATATGCGAACATGAGAGAACGGAAGATCGAGGATGGGGCCTAAGCGAGCGCGATGACGCTCGGGTTCGTCTGACGTAGAAGCTACAGGCGAAACAGAAGCCTGGTGAGGAGGAGGATGATAGGCGGTGCTCTCATGCTGAGACAGTCGCAGGGTGGCGGCTGCAGGTGTCGCAGGCATGTCGCAGCATAGGCCCTTCCTACCAGTGCCAGAGCCACATCATCGGGACTCGAGTCAGCCAGCGGCCTGTGGGGCGATGGTCCTTGATAGGGCAACGTGTGAAACGGGGCGCTATCATTTACTACGTAGTAGGGTAGTCGAGTGCTCTGCTGGCAGAACCGCATCCCGATAGAGGAAGATGGCCCCTGCAAGCCCGGATCGGCCATCGTCCGGGCAGTAGGCCAGGTGGCGGAGTGCAGAAACGGCAGAAACGGCAGAACCTGTTTTAGCCAGGATGAAACCTTAATCAGAGTACAATTAAATGGCTGTATGGACTACCGGGACATCGCCTACTGCCTCTCTTAATAAATATATACAGGTAAGCGGTGTTGCTCAAGCACCGTGCTGGACGAGTGGAAAAGGATCAGACATGTCTGCACGATGAAGAAGCAAACTTAGTAACAATCAGCCACATCCTGTGTCACAATGGTATGCTGATGGAACACCCGTTTCCAAGGAAATGTGCGCCAGTCCTCAGCTTATGCCGCCCAGTCCTCCCATACCCAGCTGGTCCATGTCTGGCATTCCAGGCAAGGCATACGGGAAATCCACCAGTCCGTCCAACATCCAATTCAGAGGGTCGAAAACTTCATAATTCGCTTCAATGTAGCCGCTGGCTAGATTCCCATTACCGGGAAACCCCAAGCCCGTGGCCATACCCGGCATGCCCGGAACGACGGAGAGAGGTCGAAGCGGTGGATCAGACGTGAAGTTGTTCGTACCCGCAGTGACAGAAGACGCGCTGGAGTCAGTGATGGCGGAGGGATCAGTGGGGTGCTTGAGGTATGCTAAAATGAAACAGTCAGCACCCAGGTCATCCCATCTACCGAGACACGCACATTCGAGGGAGATCCCTTTTCTGCTGGCCTCTTCCCTCCAACGCCACACCGAGTCGTACACCAATGACACTGACATGCGACAGCGAACTTTAAGCTGCATGCTGTTGTCAATGTATGCTGGTGCTGCACCAATTCCGTTCTTCTCTGCAGCAGCCCGACTACCTCTCCATACTTGTGCAAGCACCTCGGCTAATCTTTGAGCCAGATCGTTCTCTTGCACGCTCATGCTTCTCAGTGCCCAAATAGTCTTGTTGAATAGATTTCTGGCTTTCTCCTGCTCGCTGTCCAAACCTACCTGCTGAAGAAAATTGTTGTGCAGCTTCAGCAATGCGAAACCTGCAGCTAGCATCATCTGAAAGATGTAATTGGTGCCGTAAATGAGAGACACGAATCCTGCTGAAACGCTGGCCTCATGAGTGAATCCCGAGCCTGCCGATTGCTCATGGCCTAAACATGTCTCCAAGAACGAGGTCGTGGCATTGTAGAGTCTCATCAAATCCGTTCGGTATGAGGTCATGGTGGGAGGAGAGAAAAAGGCACTCAATCGGAGATGAAGATGCGCTGCACGCAAGTACATCAGCGTCACCGCAGAAGAACCATCGGAGATCTCTTCTTCCAAATCGGCGAAATCTGAAGCCAGAAGATTCACATATGCCTGGCGCTCGGTGTCAGAGGCTAGGCCGACAGGATTCTGTCGATTCGAATACAAAGTGCTCGACACTTTCTGGGAAAAGCGCTCAATCCGGAGGTGGTCGGCCACAGGAGATGGTAACGTGAAATTGCTATCTGTGTTTGCAGCCTTCGAGCTTAATGTCCAATCGTAGAGGGTGTTGGCTGGCTGTCCATAACCGGTTGCGACCCTGTAATCGATCAGCTCCACATCATACAAGGCTGGGGTCCTGCTACCGTTGTGCAACAATGTTGCAAATTGCCCAAGTTCGCACTCGGTCCTTGAGCTCATCTTCGTGCAACTCCATGCGAAACTTGCTGAAATCCTGAGCGTGACTCGGCCTATGCAGACCTATCTGCATGGCAATCTGCATCATCACTCCGCAGAAGATGAAGGTAGGGTCGCTGCTGGTGCTGGACGTCGGAAATGGCCAAGTGCACAGCAAGCAAAGTGCCTTGACAACCCCATACATTTGCTTCATATCTGCCAGAGCGCTCCACACCAGGCGCGTAATCGGCCCGCTAAGACGGTTGAGTAGAGTGGGCTCCACTTGGTATCGCCGAGCACCAACACTCGCTATGGCCCAGAACAGAGCAGGGCAGTATTCGAAATACCCTTCTGGAGCCATTTCCGAGGCAAGGAACGGGAGGAAGGGGTGGTACAGAGAGAAGAAGCTTGAGGAAAGATCAGCTACGAATCCACATCAACGACACGGTGAAACACTTGCGTGTTGAATAGTTCGGCTACGCAATCCTGCGGTACCAGAACATCTTCGATCCTCTTCAAGGTGTTCAACCCTCCGCTCAGAACCATGAGCCCTTCGACGGCGGCCTCGTTCGCCCCATATTGATCTTCAGACGCATATGTGGCTGCTTGAGTCGCGTTCGGAGTTGTCAATCCATTGATCGTGGTAGGAGTACTTTGCTCGGCTAATTGCTTCCTCAGCTTGACGATCTCCCTTTCCATTTCTGCATTGCGAGATCGCTTGCCAACTCGCTTGAAATTTTCTTGCACCTTGCATGAGAGATTGAGTCTGCGACATCTTGAGCAGATGGTGAAAGGATCTTGAACGACGTCGCATCGAAGCTGTAAGGCTCAATCAGCTCATTGTGTGTCGCACAGGACTAAATAGACCAGGTACTGACAAAAAGCATAATGGAGAGAACTGGATGCTAATACACTCACTTTCTGCTGACGACACTCATTACAAGCTCTCTTTATCGGGTGTCTCCTCTCCTCCTCCTGCTGTTGGCCACTCTCTGTCCCATCGAATTCAGCCGAATCGACACTGCCAGGTGAGTTGTCGAGGCCGGCAATCAAGGAATTGCGCTTTCTGGACTCGGTGGTTGGTGGTCGTGAATTGACGCTGGGACGTGAGGTATGGCCACTTCCACCACCTCCTGCACCACTCCCTGCGCCAGCTACTGCTGCCACACTGGGCGTCGTAGGCCGTCGACACGGATCGATTAAACTCCTCAATGGTAAAAGTATAAGACCGCAGGATTACTGGGAAGGTTGATTGAAGGTCCGATGTCGCAAGCAGGAGTGGGGTCGAGTGTAGGGGAGATTCCCAATCCTGTGGGGCGGGTGAGGGGTCCGGAGTCGCACATTCAATGCCCGAGGAACCCCCATCAAGATGCCCAGATGCCCAGAGGCCCGTTGGGCCAGTTCCATGACCAACCGACTACCGAAGCTATGGCCAAAGATGAGATCAAGCAGCGAGAACTTCTTCGACAACCCCTGCAGAAGTCTACATCGGCGCTTGACGCTCGAGACATGAAACTGGGAGCCGGGTCGACTATCACCAACTCCGGTGCCAGTCAGGAGAGCAGACCAGAAACCGGTCTGTAGCCAGGGCAGAGCAGCGCCATGCAAGCAGCTTACAAGAACCTAGTAACCGTGTTTGACTCGAGCATTGCACCGCAGCCGTTTCTCGACTCGGATTTGCTTGCAAGGATTGGAGGACGGGAGCAGTGCACGGTCAGAGGCGAGAAGCCCCGGTAGGCAGCGATCTAATGAAAAGCTCATTCACTGGCAAAAGCACGGGAGGCATGTTCTGCTATCATTTTCTAGCATCATGGCTCATACATCGATGCAAATGCCTCTGCTGGACTGCTGAGCCATAGAGGTGTACATAAGTCATCACTTCGTCCAACTCGTGAATCCATGACGGTACTGGGAGACCAAGACAAGGGGACTGGAAACCCAAGATGCAATGCCACAGAGATCGCTCGCTAGCAGTAAATATCTTCATGATAGATTGTGAAAAAAAAAAAACAGAAATAGTCCCCATCTACTGGACGAGAAACCTGCTCGTCCGTACATCATATCTCAAGGTCAATTGGTGGTGTCTTGCACTGGGGGCATCCACGCTGGGTAGCGTGAATCTCCCGTCGAGACAATCTGAGGGCCAATCTTCTCCCTCAGCGCCTGCCTGGTCCTCTCTCTCTTTTCGTCCTCTTTCTGTCGTTTCGATAGCTGTAGTCGACCGTGCATGTCGCCTAGCGTCCTAAGAGGAAAATAGCGACCCAAACCGGGAATCTTGTACACTCTTTTGCCGATTCGTGTTCTCGACAGACTGCCATGGCTGGATCTTTTGGTGACGGCCCCAGTTTGACGCTGTCTTCTAGATCTGTCTGACAGATGCCTGACAAGGGATATCGGCCCATCAATGATGGTTCTTTGCTGAGGAACACCGAGCGAGTTGCTGACAATCACGTCTCGTTCGTAGTCATCGTCATCGCTGTTGGAGTCTGTAACATCGTCCCAGAATCCTCGCGGCCTCCAGAATGGGTGCAGATTGGCGTCCATGGGTTGATCGGCCTTCGTGTTGCGCGCACCCCTCAAACTCAATGTCCTGCTAAGAGATTTGACGAACGACCCTGAATGACGCCTACTGCCCAAAACGGGTCTTGTGAGGGAGCCGAAACGACGGCTGAGCGACCCTGCCCTTTTGGGGGCTCTGGATGATGGCAGGCCAAGTTGTCGGTCGTCATACTCACCCGGAGTCAAGTCTAGGGGTGTGGGTGGGATCACCTTCAGTGCGGGCGGCTGCGGAGGGTCTCGAGGATTACGCAGTGGCGAATCGACCAACAATTGTGGCAAAGGTGCTTGCGTGGGTGTCGAGGGCTCCACTGTCGGCAGTTGTCTATCTTCACTAGCTTTCTGCAAGAACAGAAATGTTCGGGATTCTGGCTGCGGGTACTGGTCGACAATTTGCAAGGAATGATTGTTGTGAGCGAAAAGATTTACCGCTCGTGCCTCACCCATTTCGACTGGTCCTGGAGAAGACGACTCCATGGAAGGCGGCGAAAATGCGGTATATAGAGATGGTGATCTTAGAGCGTCCCACTGTTCTTTATCAGGCTCTCCTGCCCTGTTGCTTGGCCCCTTCTCAGAATGGGAAGCACTGTATTGAGGAACAGATCTTTCCGACTCCATGCGTTCCAGTGTCCGATGTAGATCTTCTTCGGCAGCTAGCCGACGCAGTCGAAAATGCTCTGAAGTGGGTGAATTGGCACGAGAGTGGCTCCTGCTCGTAGGGGCTGACAAGGAAGTCCCTCGCAGAGGTACGGCAGCAGCAGCGAAATCCTGCTGTCTTCCCCGGCTTCCAAAGCTCCCGCCTATGGGCAAGGATGCCGACATCGGTCTCTTTTTCCTCAAAGGCACATGTGGTTCGGCGTTCGTATGATCTGGCGCAGTTGATGGATGATGCACCACGGGGTTGGCGGAAGGGGAAGCAGAATGCCTACGATTGCTGTCCTCGGACGATTGAAGAGACGACTTTCTTTCAGGTATGACTGCAACCTGGATGATCTCTGGCTTTAAAGCATCGGTCATGGCTGGCGAGCCATGCATCATTTTTGATGCTTCTGATCCTATGCTCCATCGAGTTTGGTTGGTGATTTTGCCCTTTCTGTGGATTAGGCGGTGTGGTGACTCTGGGTTGGATAACAGAGAGCTACGGTTAGAGGCAGGAAACGGTGAGCTCGTAGAACGGAGGGATGGGTTTTTACGGCTATGGCGAAGTCGGTGCTGACGTTGTGGCATCGTCTCTGCATCAACTACAATGGCTTCAACCGTGGATGTCGTGGAGATACCGGACAAGCGCCATGAGTTGATACGTGATTGAAGTTCAGGCGACCTGTACACATGTGACCAGCCAATGTCCCGAGCAAAGTCCTCTGTCGAGTCACTAGGACTGACCATCCTGGACTCCTTAAGTCGGTCTCTTAAGCTTTTGTCTCTTTGCAGTGGCGGCTCAGGGGTTTTCGCTTTCTCTTCAGTCTCAGCCGAACGCGGTGGAGTTGGCAAGGGTGAAGGGGGCGAGATGACGGAGTGTATAGAATCGCCTTTATGTGTTTTGTCGATCATGCTATCTGTGCTAGATGCTGGCTCGACTGAGGTTGCCGAATCATTGACCTTCGTGTCCCCCATTTCCTTCCATGATCCATCAAATGTAAAAAAAGCTTCTTTTGGGACGGGTTTTCGCTTGATAACCTTTGTGGGTGTAGATTGGCTTTCATGTGTCTGAGTTGGAGCATTTGGCCGAACTCCCCAGTCCTCCAAACGAGGTGCCTGGTTACTCTGAAGCCATCTTTGACGAGATGGTCTCCGCGACGGCGATTCAGCGTCAATCTCTTCATCGGAAGAAAGCTCCTCCTTGGCTGTTTTGAACGATTCTGCTCGTGAGGAAATTGAGGGCACATTGGCCAGGACCGGGTGGGGCCGCAACAGATTGCGAGCACGCGGTGGCGTTATATCAGGCGTTGGAGGGCTATTCTGGTATGTCGGAGTCGCTACTCTTGATCGAAGAATAGTTGTTTCGGCATTGGATAAATCATCTCTACTATGCTCACTAGGATCTCGCACGGGAACAGGCGACGATGACGGCTTGAAGAAAACGGTTTCTGGAGGATCTGGAGGCGTTGTAGATAACAGATTGGGTGGATCATGTCGATGTCTGTTTGGAAGCTGGACTTGTGTTTTCTTGTAATGCGAGCGCAAGTCAACCGAGTGAAGATTTTGATCACGTCTTCGGGGTAACTGCTTGTGCGCTTTCAGAAAGGGACGATCATGAATCTCGATGGTCCAAGTAGGATCCCCGATATTTATACCGGGCATGCCTATTGCTGGAGCGATCCGGCCGCTGGATTCTACACCGTAATCTGGCATAACAGGCAGCCACAGCTGGTTGACAAGTTATGCTCTGTCAAGCCTTGATCAACTTGTCTTTCGCGGTTTGTCCAGTTTCATGACCTGAGTATTTCAATGATGAGCTATATTTATGGTCCGTCCTCCACATGGCACACCTTCGCCAATTCCCAGCCCAGATTACTTGGATCAGTGTTGATGGAGCAGACGATCAACGTGGATGGAGAAATCGGCGAGCGCGACAGTAACGACAGAACTGATCCCTTGATTGATGGTATGGCCTCAGTTTGGCCAATAAAGATTCGACGCAAGCTGCGAGATCCCTCGTTGCGCCTGAGGACCAGTTTATTGTTTTCACATTCCTGGCTGCACGGTGCAATATAAGCCAGACCTTCTGTAATATATGGTATCGTGTTGGAGATGACGTAAAGAGATTCGAATCTGTGTTGCGACAAGATATCGTGATAGAGGAGGAGTGTTGACGCCGATGTTGGATTGCGATGTTGAGGTGGGGGTCGTTGAGGCGCAGATGGAAAAGGGAGCGACAATGACCGGTGGCTTAGCAATGTGAGACAGGTTAATGCAACTATCCAGCAGGCAATCGTGATCACATATATTCAAAACCACTGATCAGGGATGGGCGATGTGACTGAGCGGTTCGGCGGAAAATGGAGATTTCTTAAGGGGGAATCTTGGGGGAGCATAGGGGTGTGGAAGGAGTTGGAGGCGTCAATGCCTCCCATTGACTTACACGGATGGATCAAGTCAAAGACGGCCTTGACTATGGTACAGTAGTTAACCTACAGGAATGCTTTTCTCTCAAAATGCAATCCGTGCAGCATGCTTTTACTTCATCCCAGCGACCAACCAAACGTCCATTGCCAGTGTCCGAAAAGCTACATCGTCCATTCAGAGAAGCAGAATCACATCAGGGTTACGATTGGCTACCCTTGCTTCGTGCAGTCGGCATGCAATAAGTTCGAGTACTATGTAATGCAGCTAAGGGCTTACAGTAGGCTTCTGGCGGCCTGAAAGCATAAGTTAGACCGGAAATTCAGCAATGACCAGACAGCATAATATGTGCACATCGAAGTCGCTCGGAACGACGAGGCTGAGACTTTGATCAGGGTGCCCGCAGAATGGAACATTTCCACGTACGAAAATCCGCTCATCCTCTCCAGCTGTGCTTGCGTGGCGTGTTCATCAGAAAGAAGTCATTTGATGCCCCAAGATGATGATATTGTCGCCAAAATGCCACGGAGGGATCTGATGGTAGTTTGCCGGCCTCAAGCACAAAAGACTTCCTTTCAACTTCCAGTGCTGAATCAATGCTCCTAAGGTTCAGCACTTTGGCGTCCCGTGGTCATGCATTCTGGCGCCTCTTTCCGTTGCTGCTCGTCGTTGAGACCTTCGATCCTCTTTGCCCTTTCGCTTTTGTCCCATGGCCGGAAACTGAGGACGCTGATTCAAGGAAGCCAAGCGGTCAAAGGCTCAGCACGCTCCATACTGTCCCTGCTGCGAGCTCAAGGAGGACGAGGCCATCTAGCCGAGTGGGACGTCCAGTCATCGTGCCTCTCAAGAGGGAGGCCAGCATGCCTAGCAGAAATATCGAATTGCTGTCTTGTGCACCTGCAATTTCATCGGGCACGAAGTTATTTGCGGTCCATCCAGAAGCCCAATTGAGATAGTAACCTAGGCGTACGCCTAGTCCGTACAAGTCGGCGCTGAAGTCTGTTTGACAAGTCTGATTGCTGCCAGTGGTGATATTGGAGGTTTGTGTTCGGCGATTGCTGGGCAGCAACAGCTGATACGTAACTGACGACCAAAATGAAGACGACGAACAGCATATCTGCTCTTTCGAGTCGGCACGGACATTGGGATCACAAGTTGGAGTTTGTCTCCATCAGTCACCACTTCTTTATAGATATCGTAACGAGCTCTGCTTCAAATGCATCAGTTCACCGTTGTACGTTGGACGCCTGATCAGCATTTGGACGAGCATGACGTTGCAGAGGAAGTATGGCTGCCTCGATCGGAAAAGCAAACTTGATCACTGGTTTAAGTAGAAGGAGTTTCAGGCATGCTTCCAGCATTGCCAGCCCAAGTTGTTTCTTAACATAGCGATTTCATTCATGCATTTCTTCCATCAACAACTAACTAGGTCGATCGCAATCCCCGTACGCGCAGAACGATATTTATCGAGATTAGCAAGATGCTTTCGCTGTCACATGTGATACTTCTTCCACCCAGAAGACCTTTCAGCCAGCCAGACAGCTCACAAGCCTTGGTGGCATGGCTGATCGGACCTCCGTTCTTAGGCCCGATAAATATCAGTACAGTATGGCGAGTCCAGTCCCTGCAACACTAGGGGAATCAAAGCCGGCGACGACTGTGACGAATGGTGAAGGACAAACTAGGTGTGTTTGGCCAGGCAAAGTGAGAGGTAAGCTTGGAAGCTGACCTGACAGTTATCGTAGAAACCCAGGATCCGTGTCGTGATATATGTGGCGCACGATGAGCTGTAGTCAGCACTTAACCTATGCACAGCCGCAGCATCATGATTGCCTCAGACGCTCAGACCCTCAATGGCAGGCTGACTAAGGCGAAGCTGTCCGAAGAGTCTGAGGACAGGATCTGATAAGTGAGTAAGATGGGGATCTTATCATTCACAACTCTCCACTGTGACGTACTTTTGAGAATAACATACAAAAAAGGAGACAATGAAAAGAAGAATGCTTTACTTTTCACTTTTTATCTTCTGCATATTACTAAAGTAGATATATCAAGTAGATATTCAACATGGATAATTGATTACTCCAACTCCGCTTGAACTCACATTGATGATTGATCAAGTAAGTTGTGATCATTTTTAACGATGACAATCTGGCTGTTTTTTACGACATTGGCCTCAAACTCTCCGGCAGAGGGGGTGACACAAATTCTCGCACCCCCTGTGCCAGGTAACGTTGGCTTAGTTAGCCTGCCTTTGAGAGTCTGAGTGACTTGAGGCAATATCATGATCTTCTTCACTACACACATTGGCGACAATATCACGAGAAAGAAAGACAAAGAAGTTTCATATGCAATGCCTTTTTTGATTCTGATTCGCTGGACAATGTCGACAGAGCTCCCTCATCTCAACAAAATGTACCTGCGTCGGATAGTAACTACCTGAATGCAATCATGCATGACATAATCTGCTGTTGGGGTATTCTAATGCACAAATCCCATGTCGCTATTTCCTCCCATGCTCCCATGCTGCATGCAAAACGCAAACCCCGAGCCGTTCCATGCACGTCGCTAGCCAGCCAGTTGCCTCCGGCCAGCAACCCAGTCCGTCATGCATCCGTCATGCAATGCAACCGTTGGTACATCATGATTCCTGTGCCATATCGAATCCAGCCTGATATGACATGTAGGTGTAAACGAATGATTTCCCGTTAAAGAGTTTGGGAATGTGCAAGGGGGACAAAGACAAAATATGTGCATTCGGAAAGGAAGACAAGACAATGCTCCGTCATCATCATGATCACGCGTGAACCCTATGGCTCCTGAAACAATGCCACAGTCTGGCAGAAGACATTGTCATTCTCCAAACCAATAGCTTGGCTCTGACCGTTGACAGTTACCATGTTGACACTCGCCTTGGTGCTGAGCCCGAAGAGCCACACATCGTCGGAGCACTGAATGTCGACCATATTTTCTTGACACGACTCGGTGTCAAGGCATACCTGATTGTAATTCTCGAAGAAACTGTACAAGCCGCCTCCGTACATGTAGACATCGTTCGAATCGAGAACACGAAGGCCCCAGGTCTTTCTGCAGCTGTCTGTTGTGCAAGTGGCGAAGTCAGGATCGGAGTAGGCTTCGTTGGGGGGGAAGCCACCGTTGAGCGCATTGGGGTTTGCTTGCATGTAGGCGGTCTCGGTCTGAATGGAACCCATCCAAATGTCCTGGGCGTTGGCAATTTGATAATTGTACAGCTGAGAATGTTCAGAGCTAGTACCGTACATCCAGACTGGACCTTTGCTCTCGACAAGTATGCCACGACCATTATAGACGTTAATCTGGTTGTTGATTGCATAACCCGGCCAAGACGACAGGTCGAGCTCATGATCAGCCACCCAAAACCAGGTGTTTTCCAGATACGCCGTAGCCTGTTGAGTAATGTGCATCAGCATGAAAGCCCCGGCGCACTCGGGCTTAAATGTTGTGGTGACGTTCTCGTTCTTCTGACAACGATCGATCTGGAGCCGAGTGCCAGCGGTACCACCAATGCGGAAGTGAACATCCCAGAGAGCACATGAGCCTTGAGAAGAATCTGCGACGTTCCACTCCATCATAATAGCACCAGGAGCAGGGCCCAGGGTCTGGAACATGAGATCTGTCATTTCAACTGCACCACGATCACCAGGAGCACCAACACGGAAGACGGGCCTAGGGTTATTCTGATCAGAGAATGCTGGGCCTGAGGCCATGATGAGAGGCCAAATCTCTCCAGTGATCTTGATGTTTTTGGGAACGTTGACAGTGTCGGTGATGACATAAGCGCCGTGGTCGAAGTAGACGATTTGGTCAGTGGTCGCACTATTAAGGATGTTTTGGATAGCAGCCGTATCATCTGTTACACCATCACCCTTGGCACCCTTCGACTTGACACTGACAAAGGACGAAATAGGGACATTCTCATATTGAGGCTTGGACCGCTCAAAGACCTTGCCGTTGTCGAGCAGTGAGGTCGCCTTGGTCGGAGCAGTCAAACCTTGTTGACCACGGATTCGAGCTTTGGGTGAAGGAGGCTCCGAACATGCCTGTGCAGTGACATTGGATTGAGTACCATTGGCGAATGGAATGGGCGAGATTGGAGCAGATAAGACGCTACCGGAAGATGGCAAGGGCGAAACTGCTATGGGGCTGACCACGGAAGAAAAGGTAGAAGCCGAGCCGGCCGAGGGGGTGCTTGCGCCCCCTGCTGTGATGCCTCCAGAAGAGAGGGGAGTGACAGCCGTTGCGGAACTGACGAGTGGTGCTGCAGAGGCAGAACAGGCTTCGGAAGCAGCTGGTGCTTGTGGCAGACGTTTAGCCATACGTTGAGTCCCTGCTGATGGACGGTATATACTGCCTTGTGCCCAAGAGTCCACCACAGCACCACCAGCAAGAACAGTGTTTCCAGTAAGCCCAGCAACAGCGACCTGAGCACCGGTGAAATCAACATTTTCAAGAACTAGGGTGCCACCAGTATTGGGAATACTGTTCTCAGAGAAGGCGGTCTTGATCGCTGTCGGTGTGGCGGTGAACTTGCTGTCCAGTAGCAGCACAGAGCCCACGCTCTGGTTGTTGCCGTCAGGGCGGTTGGCCATATCGAGACCTATTCCACAGTTGTTGATGTTGACCGATTTGAATGTCCACAACCAGTTCCAGTTCATGAAAATGGCAGTTTGGCAGTCGTTGAAGGTAAGGTTCCGCGTAGTGAACTGCTGATTGCCCAAGAAAGCACCAAAGAGTCCGCCATTGAAGACAAGATCTGACATAAATCCACCACTACCATTGTCCATGAAGATACCTTGCTGCTTGTTCTCGGAACCACCACCTTTTCGCATCTCAAAGCGGATGTTCTGAAGACTGGTGGCTTGTGCAACCTGCCAATGGATTCCAGCACCCAGCCCCAGCGGCTGGTTAGTGATGTCGACAACAAAGTTGCGGATCTGACGGAAGAAGTTGTTCTGATTGGTATACCACTGCCTGCCATTCCCTCCTGGAATATATGGATCGGTGTCAAGCACTGCAATGCCCACAAAATTTGCAGTTGCCTTGATGACTGGGAGATTGTGAGGGTCACCGATGAACTGGGTATAGTAGTATTGAATGATTGGCGCGCTGACCATGTATGTACCAGATGGAAAATAGACAATGGCAGGTTTGACGGTGGAGGAATCACAGCCTTCGCCACATCGTGCCCCCTCAGAGATGGCCCGGTTGATGGCAACGGTGTCATCGGTTGAGCCGTCACCTACCGATCTTGGGTCAGCTTGTGGTTTTGGCCAATCACCATATGTAACTTACCCTTTGCTCCATACTCTTTTACGTTACGGAAGATCTTGTATGAGGAGTCACCGTAGGCAACTTTGCCATTCCGAGGGATGTTAGCGAGCCAGTAGCCATCTGCAGCAGCGGTAGGGACATCGCCTTGAGGTTTAGGCACGGCATCAACGAGAGACGCAGGCCAGAGAGTGACAAGTAGAATTCGCAGGATGAGGAAGAGTGACGCGGCGGATAGCACAGCCATCACGAAGGCTTCTCGTCCACTACGAGAGTGATGACGCTATTGAAGGGTGTCAGTGCCCAGCACTGGGAGCAGGTCTTTAGGGTGAGCAGAGATGAGTGGAAAGTCTGAGAAGCGGAGAGGCTGCCACAGAGTATAGAGAGTGTTGTTGTTGCAAGTGTTGGAGAAAAAGGATCTGGCTGTAGAAGGGGGCTTTTGTAGTTAAAGAAGGCACACGGAGAACTGGTTGACGGAATGAATGGAAGTGACAATAGACAGTCACGATCGATCACAATAATAACAAAGAAGGTGGTGAGGCACAACAAATGCCTGAATGAAGGAAGGTGTTTCCGTTGACTTGCGGTGTTCAGCAATATGGCTGAATGGCAGGAGGAGGACAACCCAGTCACTTATAAACACAACAGAGCAACTTACTTTAACCTCCGGTAAGCGCAGCGAGTCAAGATAACAGGGTAAGATGCTTTTAGTTTCTGCAGAACAAAAGGAGGATGTGTGATGATCCTGCTCTTCTGGTGTGATCTTCTCATAACGGCCTTCACGACTATGACTGGCGAGCCATCTTGGATAAATATGATTGTCTTGTTCCTCCAGGCCATCTTCTGGTTTCTTGTCATTCTTTGCTGAAGAGATTTCCTCATCCTGCCTCTCATGATCAATTTCCTGCCCCTGAAAGTCATGAAGCAGAGGCTCGTGGTGGCAGGAGGTTGAACGGGGGCGGTGGAGAGATGCCATGCTCAGGAATGTACTCAGAACCAATACTGTACCCTCAGCCAGTGCACAAGTTCAGCTGGTCACAGAACGAAGCGCGCTGCTGACTGAATCCCTTGTCAGTCAATCTTAATATACAGGAGCAGATGAAACGAAAACCTTGGGCCATCTTTGGACGAGGGTTGTCTACAAGTCTTCTGACTAGGGCCGGTCGTGACGCTGTTGATCTGGTGGCCAGTCGAACTCAATTGAGCATATGGAAGATACCAAGAACAGATCATAGTATGGGGCTGATGCATGCAAGTCCTGCATTACAGAGCCGCTATTCTTTACCTCGTCCAATCCTGTCCAATCGTCCCACATCCCGCACGAGATCATCTTACCGGGTAGCGCACATCATGAAACGCACTCCTGATACTCAGCATGGAAAATGACTCCATCTCCGCATGTGGTCGATGTCCTGGAAAGCGCTCCTTGATCTCGCTCGTGTAACCTCCTGGGATTGACCCCACAACATCTGAGAGGCCAACCTCATAGGCTGCGAGGAACGAACGATACCTACTACGCACCTCCGATTCGGTGACAAAAGCGCCCTATCCCGCTGTGAGCACCAGCTCTGCTACAGAATGAATTTCTTGAAAGTCCCACGCCTGTTTCCATCGTTGCTCCCCATTGGCGGAGGTGTCATGGGGCTGGTGCTGCGTAACTACCTTGTATCCCACGTCAACCTTTTCACCTCATGCTGAATGGCCTGCGAAGATGGTTAAACAAATTACCACGCAACAAGAACTACATCCCATCACCAAACATGACCCTCGACAGTACCGTGAGATGCCGAGCTTCTATGGTATCTCCTTTTGCTCAGGGTCTCTCATTCATCTCCCCCGAGCCTACCTACATCAGGTTTAGGTTCAAGAACAATTGTCATCTTTCGAAGCATGCTTACGCCTACGTATGGCATCCATTTGCATGGTATAAGCTTAAGCTGTGGAACCGATGTACCACTGATGCACGACAAATACGATCGGACCTCATCACTGGACCACCAGCCAGCTCGTATTACGTACTTGATTTGACACCGAGCCAAGATCAGCCGACATCCTTTGCACAAGAGCTCGGCTTTAGTCCTGCTATAATCTTTGTATCAAGGATTCACCACATATAATTCTCAGGCTGGGTCTTATCAGCAAGCAAGCATGTTGCCACCTCTACGCGGGGATCACGCTTCGATGCTTCAGGAATACCGTCCTGTGGAGCTATATTCCGACCGAGAATGAATTGATCTTAAGACTCTTTTTGTAGCTATTAATGGTTTTACGTGACGCTAGAAAACGTGTATGGGGGAGAATCCCATAAGAGCTCACCAGCCGCAAAGTGCTGGTGCAAGGCAGAAAAGAAAGGGAAAGGGAAAGGGAAGATAAGGGAAACAGGTATATTGAGGATGCATTGATTTGGAGTCACGAAGCAAAAAGAAAAGGTGCCTACCTTAGCTCCACGCCGAGGACTAAGCCAGCGGTAATCGGCGACCCTCACCCTCATCCTCACGTATGCATCAAATCATTACTACTCACCTTCTTGGTCCTGTTCCTCGTGCCTCACTCTCACGCGTAGATCTTACCTTATTCAAGCTCGACATGCTTGAAAGTCACTTGAGCAATGATGATGATTCTTTGTCTTCCACTGCTCCCGATTTCCATACTCGGCATCAGGGCAAGTCGTAGCGGGGAGCAGAATGCCTACCTCTTCCAGGCTTCGTTCGAAGACAGGGTTTGGGACGATGGCAGCTGATTTGTGGGTATTGAGGTATCATTCGCTCTCGTTGTTCGTGTTCCTACCTATCAGCCTCTATCGCCGGCCGTCTCGTGCTGGCAGTGCCCGCGAGTCGAAGATCACAACCTCAATAGGCCCTTCAAAGGCTTGCTGCCGCGATGTAGTGCTCTGTGGGTTTGTCAGACAGAGTTCCGTCTTTCGTGGCGCATAGCCTGACTTACCAGCATTCGCCCTGGAGGTTGCAGCAGCAGCAGCAAGCCTGTGTTGTTCAAGATTCTGCCCCCTGACCACGCTGGCGGTCCACGCTCGCTTATTGCGACTACTGCCCGCTTCGTAGTCGCGGTCTTTCCGCTCCATCGAGTGAGCCTGGCAATCATCGACATCTCGATCCTTTCTTTTCTTGTTCGCTGGCCTCTTCGGCACCGGTTTGAACTCGTAATGAGGATGAGCTTTCTGATGATTTTGCTTATCTATCTCTGCGTACTCTTCGTAGAGCTCCTTGACCTCACGCGATTCCATCGACCAGCTAGCCCCAGTAATCTGCGAGACGATCTGAGCATTATTTTCTCCAGTATACTCCTTGACGCGTTCGGCGTATGTGGACCGATATAGCATAAAGGCATTCAACGGTCTGGGCACTTTGCCATTATGTTTGTTGTTGACTTCCGCCTGTCGTTGCTCCGCTGATCTGTGGACTTTGGCGTAGGTGTCGCCCAATGGAACTGGCCAGTCCTTGGTCATCACGCTAAGCGGCTTATCGAGCGCTATAGTCCGAGTTGGCTTGGCTTGCCCAATCTGCGCCAACACACCTTCTATGGGCTGTCTCGAAGTTGCCTCCAACGTCTGTCTTGTTTCCCCATACTTCCGAGTAGTAAGTTGGCCTTGATCTTCCGCGCTGGGAGTGGCTGTGGAATTATTTAGCTGCTCCTGTGGGTCTAAGGCAAGGTCTTCCACGTCATCATAAACGGGTACGGAAAGAAGAGGCTGACGTGGGTAGCGAGCAATGAGGTGCGAATGCGGGGAACTACCAGAGCGTAGGGCGTCGGATGTAAGGTTTTTAAAGTTGTATTTCGGTGGGACAGGGGGTGGATTGCCGGTGAATGGGGTTAGGTGAGACCGAGCCAAAGTATTGTCGTGATCCTTTGGTGGAACAGGGGGAGGAGTACTACCAAAGAGAGGTAAAGGAGGCAAAGGAAGCAAAGGAAGCAAAGGCGCCATTTCGTAATGTCGACTGTCGGGAGCTAGCGTTCGTCCAAGCTCAGGCAAGGCGAATGGGTCTGATTGATGAGTGCTAGTGCCGGACTGCCCAAGCAGCAAAGGGTCTATGCAGGTAGTTGGAGCTATATAGTCTTGCGTGCCCGTCTCTAAAGAGGTTAGCAAGGCCTGCAGCTCAGGGTCAATTTCAGACTTGCGTGCCTCAGGCGGAGCTTTCTGCATCAACGTATCTTGCCCAATAGAGGCCGCTGGGGCTCCAAGCTCAGTAGGCGGAAAGCCTGAGTCTTCGAGCTCTGCCAGCCAATTTCCATCCATGACAGAAAGCTCTGGATCCTCCAGAAGGAAGTCGTCGAACGTGAAAGTGCTAGACACCTCAGGGGTTTCACCGTGTTCCATCACGGTGTCTTGTAGATTGTCGATGCTGATATTGGAGAAGGTCAGGTCAGTATTTGAAATTTAGTATTAGGACTGAAGATTATACTTTGGGTGTTTGGAGAATGCCAGAGTCTTGTTGTAGCGGATATATATGAAATGTAAAGCACGTGGAATTCTCACAAGGTGGAATAGTAAATCTTCGGCTTCGGAATAAATGCACCATGAGTCGTAAGCAATGCCTCTTCGTTCACATGGCTGCATTGTCCAGCCGGTACAAAGACTAGATCAAAGAAAAAACAGAGCTGTGACAATCGGCATGACATTCAAAGAAAGAGAGACTGCAAAGGACAAAGAAGAAAAGGACAAAGTGTGCCGTCAATACAACAGAAGGACGACAAAGGGCCATGCTGGAGCGTTGTGCAACCAAGCAGCACGAAGAAAATGCTTGATGGGCGGAAGCATTGCTGTCCTGCATCAACATGAGCAACGCTTTTGCAGTGTCGAACAAGTCCGCTTCTAATCTACTCTGATCCCTTCACCAGAGATAAAATATCTGAGGCTCATGCCTTTCAAAGGTCGTCAATCATAGAGGCTGTGCCCTTGGTGGAGCGGCACCAGGAATGTCATCTCAGAATAGAGGCAACCTGGGCTGATTAGGACACCTTTTCGGAGTGTGCTAGATGTCAGCTATACTACCATGCTCCGCGATTCATCAGGGTTATATGAACACATGATGGATAATGGGTGCAGTATCCCTTCCTGCACAACCATGATAATTGCAATAGCATCGACAGATGAAGGCCTGTAAACAAGCTCGGAGACCAGTTCAAGCATCTGCAGCGCATATGCGCCCATCTTTCAGCTTGGTGAGCTAGATTCATAGGGCTAAGAGAAGCATCAGGATCCCAGACGGTTGGCTCGAGGCAGAGCAGATGCAACGTAATGACAGGGACGGAGGACTATTCAGATCAGCCATCGTTTGATATCGCAAGCTTGCCTCCCTTTCAGTTCAGTGTATCTAGTCAGTCGCTGATGTTGAGTCCTGCCAGAGAATGTCTTGTTCTTGGTGTCTGGTATTGTGGGTACTTGCAAACATGTGTGTAGGTGTAGGTGTAGCAAGCATTAAGGATCATGATGGCCGATTCCCACAGCTCTTCAACCACAGGGGCGTCTAGAATCAGATGCCAAGCCCTGAGGTCGGATAAACTTGAACTTTCTGACCGTGTGGGGCTTGGCATGGACTTCCGGACTGGCACCCTCCACCTCCACCCTCGATCTACTTGCCGCATCTGGCATCCTGCATCTGAATTGCCACCAAAGAATCAGGCTTCAGGAAACGCGTCTCGCCACCATCCAGCCAAATGTGCTATACGTAGGTTGCTACAACTATACAGCAGCCTAGATTCCAGCAATTCAAGCCTTAGAGTGTTCTAGTACCTTCTCGAATCGCTCTGTCATCCGATTCGTCATTACTGGGTAGGTGGATAGTATGACATGAGCGGGCCGCGCACGAATCTTGTTTGCCTGTCACCCCTCACATTGATCATATAAGATTGTCCATAGCTGCATCGATCATCGTGAGTTTCTACATTCTACATCTACCTTACTTTCCAACAGCCAACTGTACATCACCAATCTATATCTTCTATAACAAATATGCCTTCGCTCTACAGCCTCAACAGTCGGCCTCATCCATTCTGGGACTTTGTTGCCAGCCTTGACGAAGACGCCTCCCGCAATCAACCTTCAAGTCATACCGAGGACCAACAGAGTAACTCTAGACCAGCCGAAACATCGCCAAAGGAAAAAGCCTCTGGGAAACAGCCTACCGTCGAAGACGAAGTGACTGCCGAATCCTCCTCTCAGGAGAAGGGCAAAGCCCCCGAGCCTACCGGTCAATCTTCTGCCCAAGATCAGCAGATGCCATTCCGGGGTCGAGGACGATGTGGCGGAGACGGGCCGGCTCGTCGCGGACACCACGAAGGTCGAACAGGGCCATATCATGGGCGGCGAGGAGGACGGGGCGGCTTTGGAGAGCCTCACCATCATCATCCGCCGGGTGAAGGTTTTGATGGATTTGGAGACTTCAATCCGTTCGGTGTGCGTGGTCCTCCCTTTGGTGGCTTCGGCCTCTTTGGCCCACCCCAGCGTGCACATCCAGCCGCATGTGGACCACCTGGTACACATCAGACCCCGCGCTCTCATGGCCGTCCACATCACCCGCATCCACCACACCCGCATCACAACCACGGGCGCGGCCCCCGTGCTGGCCCCGATAATTTCAATCTAGGCGAATTTTTGTCCAATCTGGGCTCTCGCCTAGGCTTCGACCTGACAGGCGCCGCTGAAGGACTCGGCCTCGACCGCCTTGCAGCCGGAAACACCACGCTGCCAGAAGGAGTTGACTTCGAGCCCAGAGCTGATATCTTCGACACACCTGCGACATACATGGTCCATCTCTCTCTCCCTGGCGCCAAAAAGGAAGACCTAGGTGTGGACTGGGATGGCGAGAACAGCACCCTTCGCATCGGTGGTGTTGTCCATCGTCCCGGCGTTGATGAAGAAACCCTCAAACTCCTCGTCGTGGATGGTCGAAAGAGCGAAGTCGGTGTCTTCGAGAAGAAGATTCATCTTGGTACCAAGCGAGACCCTGCCAATATTGACATAGCTGGAATCACTGCCAGAATGGCAGATGGCGTGCTCGTAGTCAAGGTCCCCAAACTTGAAGTCGAACACAAGAAACGAGAGGTTCCTATTTCAGGATCTGCAACTCCGTCGCCTGTAAGGGAAGAGAAGCAGAACCTCCAACAACCAGCCGTGGCTCAGCAGGTCGACACACCAGCCATTGAAAAGGGCAAGAAAGCAGCACCAGCAGAGATGGATGTCGACGATGCACGCTCCGAGACAGAGAAAGGAGATGAGATGGACTACGATGACCCAGCCGAGCAGCTACCAGAATATCAAGCGCCAGGACACGAGGCTGAGGCTGAGGCTGATCACAGCGAGGAGGAAGGCGAGTACGTCAAGATCGACGTCAATTAGCCCGTCCTTCCCTGGGCCCGCTCAGTGAGTATGGGATTGGGCTGTTGAATAGGTAGAAACGTGGTATAAGTATTTTTTTAGTATCTCATGAAGCTTGTCACAACCAGTTTAGTACGTCAATCACAGGGCCAAATGGCCTCTCGTCGTTAGCAGGAGTATCAAATAAAATCAAGTACCATCATCATCTCTATCCAATACGTAGTACAGTAAAGACCCCTCACCACCCTCAAATCCACCAAACATGAATGC